CAAAGGCACTAAAAAGTAAAAAATAACTGATTGGTAGTTTTCATTTACTATACATACCTAATCAAATATATTCGAAGTCGGTGTGCTTTGGCTAAGTAATTAAAGCCTATCTATTAAATACATACCTAATCAAATATTTTCGAAATCGGTGCCAGGCCGTATAAAGCAAAAAAACCGGCTTCGAGACACTAAAAAGTTATATCATTTATTATAGATATTTTTGAACTGAAACATACATACATATATACACAAACATAGAACGAACCTCCTCCTTTTTACAAGTCGATTAAAAAGAAAGCCATGCAATATTTATAGTAAAGAATTGAAAAAAAAAATCACCCGAACCGAAAGCCCTTCGGTTTGTTGATATACAATTTCGTCGAAAAACAAACGAGTAAATGTAAATATGTTGGCACATTAACACACATCACCATCTAGTTCCATGGTAAGCTACGAAGCTTGTGTTACCAGATAGTTGATACACTACATATATATTACTTTAAATACATACTTATTATAAATATAAACACCCATGACTGGAATATAAACATTCGTGCTCATCACACAAATGAATGCCCCCAGCGGGATTCGAACCCGCAACCGCTGGCATAGCAAGTAGGGTGACTACACATTGAGCCAACCGTGTCGTCAAACAAGTGACTCTTAAGCGAGATTCACCGAAATATAGCGCTTAAATAAAGTGCGTTAAAAGCTATTTTTTGTTATTTAATTAACGAGTGAGTGAAAAGACGAATACAAATTAACTTCCCGCTAAGTAATTGAATGGTTTGAGTGAATGAACTGGAAACATATTAGATTTATGTTGAAGAATTTCGTTGTAAACGTCCCGATTGCGGTGAAGGCTAAAGGATTATGTAATTGACTTGTATATATGTACGTATATGTATGTATGTATGTACGTCTTATCATATATGTCAGAACTCCTAAACTGCTGAACCGATTTTGATAGATTATACGTTATTAGAATCGTTTCGGTAGCGTGAGTGTTATAGTTTATATTTTCATTCAGCAAGACACACAGTATTAAAATAAAATATATATGTCTCAGACTGCTATGTTCATGATTTTTTTTTAATCTTTTAAGCTCGCAATTTACGGAGTTCTTTATATAAGTTAAAGTTACGATCAGCAAATGTAGCGTGGCATACTATTTATCCGGTATATTGCACAATGTTACTGAAAACACGTGGAGTTAGAGCCTTAGTAAAGTAAGGGCTGCTCGATAGCTGTTGAAAGTGGGTTAAAAGTATCATTAGGTTAACTTCAGCTGACTGAAGTAACTTTAAAATTGAAAATGTTAGCAGGTAATGTGGTTCGAAGTATAAAATATAATAGTTTTGTTCATATATTTAGATGTTGCTATCGATTCGTTAACCCTATGAATTAGTTGAATATAATAGTGAAATTGTATTTTTATGCGTTTTTAGTTGGTTCGATTATCGGCTCAGGCATATTCTGTGCAGTTGTTAATATTTTGAAAAATAAAGGAATGTTTCTTTTGAGTGAAAATTGGTATCTTTAATATATAAGGTACTTTTCTTCCATATCCCGTTCATTTGTTCCATTATGCAGGATAGTAAGTGGCCCTTGATTACATTCGCAATATTAAACATACAATATTATTATACACAATTCTACAGAAATTCTACCTTTTTTTTAATTTTTTACCTTCGAAGAATTTTTTTTTTTTAATTTTGCATCTGCTAACAGTTTCAAAATAATTTCAGCTGTACTGAAGTTTACTGAATGTACAATAATAATATACCATGGAACTAATATGGAGATTGAAAATACAACTCTTCGATGTGGATATGCTTAAATGAGAAAAAGCGTTGAAAACCCTTTATATTATCGCTAACAGTGATAAGGTAAGGAAGTTGTACCGATATTCTGTAAGAACTTTTTTGTAACTCGATAGTGCTCGGTAGTTGATAGTATGTAGAAAATATTTTATAATGATGTATGAAGTATAATAGTCGATAGCGGATATAATATAATAGCGAAATAGCACTGTCTTTTTGTGACGACACATTTGACTCAGTTTGTAGTGATCCTACTTGCTGTGGCATTTATTTGTTGACGAGCACGAAAGTAACTTGAACTCCAGTCATGGATGTTTATATTTATAATACGTATGTATTTAAAGTTATATATGTGTAGTGTATCAACTATCTGGTATCCATAACACAGGCCTCATAGCTTACCATGGAACTAAATGGTGCTGTGTGTCAATGTCCCAACACATTTAACATAATTATCTATATCCCCAAAGAACCAATAAATAAATAAGGAATATTTATTTATTTATTTATTATCATATAGCTATCTATAGCGTGACTTTGTACAAATATCTTAGCAATAAATGTTTAGGCCATATTTTTCACACGTGGAATCCCAATTTTATTTCAATCCCAGAACAACGGTATGTATTGCTCAGTATTTTTTGTTAGGAGTATGAAGTATGAGCGGTCCAACATCCAATTTGTACTTTTATACCCTCTACAAGCCAGAAAGTTGTTGAGTTATTGGCAATTACTGTTATTTATTGATGTTCCAGACTATAATATTTATAGATTCAGTCTAGATTTTACAGAAGTAAAGAAAGGGGTTCGTTCGGTTTTAAAAATAACTTTCTAAAGAAACTTAGCAAGGCTTAAGATTTTTTTCTTACATACGAGCGTATTATACTTATAAATATATACATTAGAAGCATCAGCATTCTGTCTACTGAAACACGATTCCGAAAAATTTAATTAAACTATAATACTCAAAAAATATATTAAAACAAGCTATTTCTAACGTCAACTACGGGTTCGATTCATGTATATACGAGTATGTACATACATACAAATTTACATATAAGCATACATACATACTGTTGCCTCTTTATCCACTAAATTGCAGAAATAAAATAATGTACAATAAATCACTTCGAAATGTGGCTAAGATCTGCGATTCAAATACATTACGACTAACTGATTTTTGTATCCTTAGAATATTAGAAAAACGCAAGTGGTATACTTTATATGACTAAAGATAACATAATCATGGGAAAGTTTTAAAAAGCGTATGGTCTCTATAGTTATTCCTGTAAAAATCGATATTATTTACGACACGAGACGACACGTTTGGCTCAGTTTGTAGTGACCCTACTTGCTGTGCCATCTGTCGCGGGTTCAAGTCCCGCTGGGGGCGTTCATTTGTGTGATGAGCACGAATGTTTGTACTCCAGTCATGGGTCTTTATATTTGTAATATGTATGTATTTAAAGTTATATATGTGTAGTATATCAACTATCTGATATCCATAACACAAGCCTCGTAGCTTACCATGGGACTAGATGGTGCTGTGTGTTAATGTCACAACAAAATATATTTATTATAGATATTTCGTTCTAGTGTAAAAAGCAGTTTATGGAACTGTTACCATATTAACCATGTAGTAGTATGGTTATAATTGTATTGTAAACTAGCCACATATCCTCGTTTTGTTCGAGAACGTCCCTAGGTTGGTTTTGTTAACATTTTCATGGGTTTTTTTGCAGTACCCTAATTCTTTTTCTTAAATAAAAGTTTAATTCATTTAATTCGTAATAACAAAAATGGATACAAATATACTCCTTAATCTAACAACAATGATTGTTTCACAAAACATGGGAAATGGAGTGCTGAGACGCATGCACTAGGATATCCTGTGTCGCGTACGTCTAACCTTCCACAGGACCCTCTTATCTAATTTAAGACTATAGCTTAAGGCGATAAGTTGTTAAATAAGTAATGAAAGAAAAATATAATAATAATATAATATTAAGACACTGTTTTTTTTTAAATGAGTGCATAAAGTTATATTCACATTTTTAATACATAATATGTACGTACCATCTCTGATATTACGTTATCTTAGGTGTGATATATGAAGGGGCGCTGCTGTTGACAACAGATAAGCTCGGCAATAAGAAGTGCCAGATGAGCAATTTGTCTTTTCAAACAGTAAAAGAACATTGCCATTTTTATACAACATTATTATTTATTTTGAGATACACTATGAAATTTTTATTTAGATTAGCATGTATATATATATAAATGAAGTACCTGGGCCACCGAGCTTCGCTCGGAGTTTTTGAATCAAAAGTACAATTTTCTTTAAAAAAAATTAAAAACTTGGATAAATACAAAAAAAAAACAAAAATAAATTTTACCTTTATATCCTATCGGGATTCGAACCCGGACACCTATGTTTGTCAATCTTGCGCCTTGGCCGCTTGACCATGATGCTTATATCCGAACGTGCGAAATTATCGAATATAATATTTTGCGAGGAATAATGCAAAAGAAAACCGCATGAAAATTCGAAAACACGCGTTTTCCCAGACATAAGACTAATCTAGATTGATTTATCGCCACCGAAACCCCTTGTATACTAAATTTCATGAAAATCGTTGGAGCCGTTTCTGAGATTCAGATTATATATTGATATATATATTTATATATATACAAGAATTGCTCGTTTAAATATAATAGATATATATATATATATATAAATGAATATATATATATATATATATATATATATATATATATATATATATATATATAGATATATATAGATAGCTCCATGGCAGCCATGGCTGAAATACGGTAAGGCATGGGCCTACATGGATGATATACGAGTATATACAAAGAAGATAAGTCCACAACGATGGCTAAGTGGGGTGTTGGTGGACTCTACATGTCTTTCAAAACCTAGTAAATTTCTCTCTTCTATTTTTCATACGTAGACCACAGCTTTCATCACAATGTTTTCCTTCGTCGTGCGATAGCTATAATTATGATGGAAATAATTCGCAAGGAAATATCAGAATTTTGAGACTCGGGGTTCGAATCTGTATCACATGGTTTTGCAAGCACGTAACCACTAGGTTATGACTACCTTTATAGCTAGTTTCAAATACTTTTAATATTTATTTTCATAAAACTTACCTCTTGCTCGTGGTTTTGTCAGTAGCTTTTGCACTATATTGTCATAGGCTCCTTCGCTGGCAACACCCGAGTCTTTCACCAGCTTTTCCTTCACAGCGATACAGATACCATTTCTTGCCAACAAAGCTTCTAGTTCTTCAAATGCCTGTGGAAAATATTATAAGTTTTATACTTTAATTCATTAATATATTCAATTTAAAAATAATTAGCTTTCACCGTTACATGAAATTTTATTTTTTGTTAATTTGTTCATCATCATTTTTTAAAAAAATTATCTAGTCATACTATAGGATATACTCATACTTTTTAAGAATACTCGAGAGTTTATTTTTATTTATATTTATCTCATTCCGAAGCTCCTATGTAATATATATGTATATTCTAGGTCAACTAATAAGTAAATTAACATTTTTTTAAATTTACAAATGGATACGAAAAGGTTTTGAACAAAAAGATACCAGTTTATTTTGCCGCTTGTTTTAATATAAAATAGAAAAAGCAGACACAGATAAATGAATAAAAAATGTAGAGACGTCTCTACATGACGGGTTGTGACAAAGGGATCATTGTTCTGACGAATGACTCCAAAAGTAACAGTTAAATATTAAAAAACCGACTTTAAAAAAGTAAAAAATAACCGAATGGGAGTTTTTATTTACTATAGACAACCAAATCAGATATTTTTGAAGTCAGTGCCAGTCGATGCAAAGCAGAGCAAATCTATTTTGATACATCATTAATCTATACACATAATAAAATTGTAACTACGCAGAATCTGTACATTAAATATTTTTTGGAAAATCTTAGTGAAATAAACATTATTATCGATACAGAGGCCGAATCTATAGTTTTTAGAATTTTTGTCTGTCTGTCTGTCAGTCTGTTACCGTATCACAGAAAAACCACTGAAGGGATTTTTATAAAATTTGGTATAGTAATTAATAGCTGGTTATCCGGGTCAACGTATAGGATACTTTTTACCGCGGGAAAATATTTCATTTCTGTGAAAAAATACAAAAACTGCAATGTAAGAGTATTCTTATATGTAAAACCTAAAAAATTGTTTTTTGGTCATCTGAACGCGGGCGGAGCCGCGGGCAATGCTAGTTGGTGTATAATATTTTAACTACCATTAAGAGTTCATACATTTCGTAACGCCATGTTTACCTATTAGATATTCATATCTTAAAGCATTGTCAGCTGACACCAATTTTTGGCTACTTTTATATTTGCATACTTTTTTATACATATATAATTATAAGTTATTGTTAAGTTTTACTTGAGTCTGTTGAGTGGAACCGCGATTGGTATTTAGTGGTTACGAAGCACGAACTTAACGAAAATTGAGGCGCGTGCGAAACTGTAACTTGAAGCTAATTAATTATATAGTAAGTGATTTCCTTTGTCATCTATACTAGTGTTCGATCCTCGCTTCGCTCACTATTCATATTAAATTAAGTAATAAATAAACATAATAGGCAAACATATTGCTAGTTAACAAGTTATTTATGCTAATATTACAAATACAAAAGATTGTTTATACGTGAGTGAGTGAATGAGTTATTAATATGCCACAAAAATATACATCTATACTAATATTATAAAGAGGTAAAGTTTGTGAGTTTGTGATGTTATAGGGGGTAATCTCTGGATCTACTGAACCGATTTAGATGAAATTTGGTAAGAAGATAGTCTAATTTAATAAAGTTTAACTTAATTTCATTTCAAAAATTACTTAATTTATAACACATCAAAGCGGTTTATTCGTAATACATTTTCATAAACAAAAATATTTGCCAATATTCTGGACAGATGCCACACTATCGGGTTCACATAATATCGGTGACAGTAACGATTCATAGCGACGATGCCTTTACGTTTATTGGTCAGATAAACAGCGTGGTGCTGTGTCCAGGACAATATACATTGTTTGCCGTATAACATTTCAATCTAAGGTTCCATACACATTGGATTTCCGAACTAGCAAGTTGTATTGATTTTAAAATCAGGAGAATGAGATAGATCATAAAGACCACAAAATCAAATGCGAGTTGGACTTGCTCATACACAATTACGTATAAAATATATGTATGTATGTACAAATTGCTTTTTTTTAATTTGCATGTCGGCCATTTTGAAATTTGCCATCTTGTTTTTTTATTATTTATATCTATTATAGTACATGAGATACAGCTCTCTGAAAGATGGAAGGAAGGACCGCGGAGGCTAAGTAATAGGGTCCCGTTGACACCCTTGGGTTACGGAGCCCTAACAATGAAGCTAAATCGACCTATCAATGTCAGAAAGAAAATATTTCAACCGAATCCGCTTTTTTTATTTATTTCAAACAATTCTATAACACGGGAACCTTACATTTTACCGGGATAAAAAGTAGCTTATGTGTTATTTTAATATATGAGATATATTATTGTAAAGTTTTATTAAAATCCATTTAGCAGTTTTTGAAGCTTTTGAAGTTTTTGAGCTTGAAAGAGTAATAAACATCCATACGTTTATACATCCGGACATTCATACATCCTTATGAACTTACGCATTTATAATGTTAAGTAGGTTTTTTTTCTGATGCAAGTTTTTTGTTTGATTACATTAAAAGTCAGTATAAGTACTAAGTTTATTTTTTTAGGTTTTTTAGGTATTTAAAACATTTTTCAACCGACTTCAAAAAGGAGGAGGTTCTCAATTCGACTGTATGTTTTTTTTTATGTTTGTTACCTCAGAACTCCGTCATTTATTAACCGATTTGGACAATTTTTGTTTTGTTTGAAAGGGTATACTTTCAGATTGGTCCCATTTAAATTTCAAAAAAAATACCACCCCTAAGGGTGGAAAAACAACTAATGATGAATTTAACCTACTTCTAATTGTCATATTGACTTGGAACTTTGCAAGTATTTCTATTTCCGTTGATAGTACAGTGGTTCGGTGTTGTTGACCTGATATGATGGCAAGGCCAGAAGGTGGATAGGTGGAACTCTTCAACGGCTAATAGTAGATACTTTGAGTTTGGGCTTATTTTATTTGATTTGACAAGCCTAACACGTTAGAATCCTTACTATGCTACTACTGTCTACACTAAAAAGGGAAAAATAAAAACTTTTTAACAAAAAAATAAAAACCGACTTCAAACAAAAGCACTAAAAAGTAAAAAATAACTGATTGGTAGTTTTCATTTACTATACATACCTAATCAAATATTTTCGAAGTCGGTGTGCTTTGGCTAAGTAATTAAAGTCTACCTATTAAATACATACCTAATCAAATATTTTCGAAATCGGTGCCAGCCCATACAAAGCAAAGCACATCGACTTCGAAAATATTTGATTAGGTATGTATAGTAAATGAAAACTACCAATCACTTATTTTTTATTTTTTATTTTTTAGTGTTTTTGTTTGAAGTCGATTTTTATTTTTTTGTTAAAAAGTTTTTATTATTTTAAACTTATTTATTTTTTTCTTTTATTATACTTTTAGTTTCACACTTCTTGTAAAGAATTGATGTTCTTTTCAGATTTATTTTGCTTAAAAAATATATATTATTATCATTATCGTTATAAAATATTGTTCTAATTATGATAAATCCCAAATTATTTTTGTCTGAAATTCAATAGTGTAGACCCAGTCTTAATTGCATTCAATTTGAACATTTATAGGAAAACATACCTTAAACAACATAATATATCACACAAAATGCTTTAACGTTAACATTTCAACAAAAGGCTTGTATTCTCAGAGCATAAAGCTCAATTTCCATACATTTCATTGTGGAAATTAATATAATACGGTTTATTTGCCTTACATTAAACGTCAGTGGGTTATGAAAATCATCCACAAACGGTTGCAATGATTTTGCAGTGCTACCTATTGTTAGTGATGTTCGAACAAATTGATTAAACATGCATATCTTATGTTATATGAATGTCTAGTTTTCTATACATATAATAAAATTGGAACTAAGCCAAATTTGGACATTAAATCCATACTAATATTATAAATGTGAAAGTGTGTTTGTTTGTTTGTTTGTTTGTTTGTTTGTTTGTCTGTCTTTCTTTCGCGTCGAAACGGCTTGGCGGACTGGCGTGATTTTTTGTGTGGAGATAGTTAGAGGACTGAAGAGTGACATAGGCTACTTTTTACCGCGGGAGATTATCTCTTTCCCAAGGAAAAACACGTTATAATACAATCCATAAGTATTTATGATCAGAATAACTTGAAACTTGGTATAAATGCTCTTCAATACAATTAATTAAATATGTGTTTTTTCATTTTTCGAAATTCATCCCATACAAGGGATAAATAGCGGATGAAAGTTTGTATGAAACCTACCATTTTAGAGTTTTTTTGTAGTTTTAGCGCGAGCGAAGCCGCAGTTTCTGCTAGTATTTAATTATTTGAAACTTTTATTATCAGCTATCTGTAAGAGATCGTTTTTATAAGCACTTAAGGTGCAAGGGGCACATCTACTTTATTGTATAAGCTTTTGTAAGGTACCATATAAGTGTCCAATAAAGTGCTATAAATAAAATTTTTTTTTACTAACCTTGATTCCATAACTGGACTCCTCGTAGATGATGGAGACGTAGCTCCATCCTAGTTTCTTTACTATCTCAACCATCGCTTGCACCTGAACAAATAATGCAAAATATCTATATCTATTTTATATATATATATATATATATATATATATATATATATATATATATATATATATATATATATATATATATATCGACATACACGTTTCATCCTTGTCGCAAGATGTATACATAATATATAATGTACATACGAGTATGTCTCCGACGCATTATACCTTTTATAATCTATACATATAATAAAATTCTACTTAGTGCGACTTACCATCTACGACTGCGTTACCACTTACCATCAGGTGGAACGTAGTCAAGCTCTAATTCAGAATAGTATATAAAAAAAAACTAAGCCGAATCTGTACATTAAATGTTTTTTTTGGAAAATCTTATTGAAATAGTCATTATTATCGATGCAGAGGCCGAATCTAAGGTATTTAGAATTTTTGTCTGTCTGTCTGGAATCGCATTACGAGAAAACCACTGGATAGATTTTGATGGAATTTAATATGATGATAGCTGGTTATTCGGATCAACATATAGGATACTTTTTACTGCGGGAAATATCCTTTATCTGAAAAATCTATACTTAAGGTTAAAATGTAACTAGGAACGAACCCGAGCGGAGCGAGATGGAGTCGCTGGTCTTTATTTAAATAGGCAAAGACAAAACAGCTCCGCACATTTCTCTTATCTTGTTTTTGACAACCAATTTTCTTTTTTTTTGTTTAGTAGCTACTGACGGGCTTTAGTGTTATCAGTAAAAAAAATAAACATTTTGTTATTATAGATAGGTAAATTCTAATCATATATTTATAATATGTATGTATTTAAAGTTATATATGTATAAGTATATCAACTATCTGGTATCCATAACACAGGCCTCGTAGCTTACCATGGAACTAAATGGTGTTGTGTGTTAATGTCCCAACATATTTATTATTTATTTAATTATTATTTTTATATTTTTAATTTTTTTTAAATAGTTCCAGTTGAATTTCGACCACTCAGCGAATATTAGTACACATAAAAGCTAATATGGCACTCAGTTATATCGAAGAATGTACCAAAAACTGAAGTAATAGGTGACTTTTTAAATGATATTTGTGTTTCTACATATACCTATAGCTTTACATAATATATAAAAAAAGTTATCCAGTCCCAATTGAAACTTGTTATATATGAATTATATACGCACTCAAGTTCCGGTTTTTGTTTCAGTTTTGGCCAAAACCAATAGAGAAACTTCCATATACGACAATCACTTTGTATTTTATTTACTTTAGCTAATTTTCTTTACTTTAGCTGCTTACGTATAACAGACTATGTATTAAAAAAAACAATTTTCCACTTTGGCTCGGTTTTTGTTGTATTTTATCGGCTTTTAGCTAAAATTGTCCGAAACCGATACCGTAATTTCGGATAAATATTAAACTTAAGATAAAATCAAAATATATATAAGTACCTGATGATGATCAGACGGAATAGTTCGTGTAAAATACTCGAAACGAGCTTTGTTAGATAGTTCGGGCGACGTCGAGAAGAATGAAACCTGTTGAGAGGAAAAAGCAAATATTTTATACACTGTGCATACTAAAAGCTTTAAATTAAGGAAAAAAGCGCAAAATTCAAATGTTGTTTTAGCAAGATTAAATCATCTATATTTGAATGGCGTAAAGCGGATGAAAAATAGGTTTAATTAAAAATCTTATAGCTCCAAGACTTTCAGAAAATCTTGAAATATTCTATTTGTATAGAAAATCAGATGCTTTTGAGGTTTGTTAGGTGTTTCCTAATGAATGTGAAGTGAGGTTCGTGAGTCATTTATCATTGGTGAATCCCCGGGGCATGTGAAAATGAAATCGTTATTCAACGAGATTTGGATTATGAAATAGCCGTATTTTTTCTTTTGTTGGAAAGCGCTCACATTCTGATAAAATATATGCATGAGAGTGGCATTGGAATAACAAAAATTAGGTAGCGACAGCATAATATTACTAGTTTATTTATAATTACTCGTTATGCTACCATTTTGTTCCATAACAACCAAAAATATATGAACCTAGCCTCAAGTTTTTACTGGCTTTACTTTAACTTGTTGCAAGTTTTTGTCTTTAACATTAGTGTTAGATTAAGGAAGTAATTCAAATTAGTCTGAAAGTGGCGATAAAAGAACTTTCTTTTTGCTTGTTTTTGAGGATTGTTATATTAAGATATTTTTTATTAATTACATACATTTAATAGACTTTTCGGCTCTTTCAATAAAATCTAAAGTGTTGTTTTTGAAAAGAAAAATATTTCTAGCATAATCCAGACGTATTTATAGATATGTCATATATCCATCTCGTCTCTCAGTAACATGTTTGGATATCCACTACAAATACAACTTTTATAATTTAATTAAACAATTGTCGAGTGATTTATTGAAAATGATCACAAAATCAAAATCAAAATTTAATCATCATCAAAATTTATTGAAAGTAAATAGTATCGAAAGTCACTGATAACTTATTTTAGTATTCCTTTGACACGTTAGATGATCAAAAACTGGCAAATGACAGTACACAGTTGTCTCAAATATACGAAATTTGGCAACAGTACTTCCAGTCATGCATCATAAAACTTTGTAGTAAGTGGGCTTTGTAACAAGTGAGCTATTTTAGCATTCCGTTTGAGTATAATTGAGCGTGAATAACTATTATAAAATAAATGATTTTTTTAAATGTTTAAAGCGCATATGATGGTACATATGTCTAATATCTATACTAATATAATAAAGAGGAAAGATTTGTTTGTTTGTTTGTACCGAATAGGCTTCAAAATTACTGAACCAATTTGGATGACGTTTGGTATGAAGATAAACATAGGATAGTTTTTATCCCGGAAATCATCCCATAAGAGTGAGAATTTGAATGAAAGTTTGTACGATTTCACGTACATTTTTAGTTTTGCTTACTTTGCGCGATAGCTTTTTGAGGTGATGCGTCGCTGTATTTTTTACGAGTGCATTTAAAGACACTGAGTCGAACAGACGTGGCCAGTTTGAGTCGTCAAAATTATACTGTAACTTCAGTAATTAAAGTACTTCAAACTTATAAGTATTTAAACTTGTGCTCTCCAAACAACTAATAACAACTATATTGTACTGTTCTAACTGGGACGGTACAAAGTTTGTATGAGAAAGCAACCTAGGGACGAACCCGAGCGAAACGAGGTTGAGTCGCTAGTTTTTAATATATTATGTTTATGTAAATATACCTGTGGTATTTTAAACAGTCTTAGCAAGTTAGCAACTTGTACAGAAGTGACGCTAGATGCAGCACCCACGACGCCAGAGATGACTTTCCTCATGGCTGTTGCGTTGCATGCGTATTCAGCATCATCGATATTACTTATGGATCCTGTCAAAGATAAAGCTGACTAAAGACATTGTATGTTGGCTAAATAATACTAAGATAACAGTATATATAAACAAACAGTTTATATATACATACATATATACATACATTGCATGTCTTAGAAAATAAAATAAGAACATTTAGTACAATAACAGTAAAATTACTTAAATCCTTTAAATAGTAAACGATACCTTTTATGAAGTCAACAGCCATCTCCAGACCATATGTATCTCTGTCACAATCGTCAAGAACATGAGCGCCGATAGTTACACCTGGTATTAGCTTCAATTTATTATTGATAATATCCAATGTGTACAACATTGTTTCTAACGCTTGAACTCCACCTTGAGGCATGACTGGACCACATGTCATGCTGTCAGACCTTTCATGAACCATCATCAAGCCTCCTAAAACCAAATCACCTTCAATTACAGCTTCCCTTTTTATTGGCCAGTGTTGATGTTTTTTATCCTTCATATCTCCAATCTGGTCTTGAGACATATTCAGCCAGTCGTTCTGAGTTGTGTCGACGACCATATCATAACCTACGAGGTCTTTATCCAAATATTCTTTTTCTCTAAAATTGGTTAGAGGATCGAAATATTTGCTTATTGTCAGGAATGAGTCTAATGGTAGTGGAGCTTCAGTTTGCTTATGTCTATGTCGGTGATGATGTCTGGTGTTTGGATTAATTTGGAAGTCTTCGGTTAAAGAAGATGAGTGTTTCATTTCAGAATATTGAATAGCGAGGAACAGCGTGGTGGTCGCCAACCAAATCTGGCTGGGACGCATGTTAGTATGGTGGGTTTCATGCCATCGACGGTTTACGATCCCCTTTCCATCGTATGAGATACATCTTTGCCTGTAAAAAAGAAAAATATTGCTATAGCATATACTAATGAAAAAGAAGTCAATAATGAAAGATTACACAGCTGATCAAACTGACATTTGCGTTGGCGGTTTCAGGATTAACAATGCCGTTTTTAATGTATCTGATAATGTGTTAGGAAAAGGAAAAATTTAAATATATGTTTAGTCATAGAAGATACGTATTATTTTATTATTTTTATATATATATATATATATATATATATATATATATATATATATATATATATATATATATATATATATATATATGTATTTGCTCTCTGTTTTGTTAAACCACTATAGCTTTATAAGAAATTCTATCAAAATAACCTTGTAGATTAAATAAACCCAAAATAAGGTAAATCAGGTACATAATACGTAATGCCTCTTGATATTTTACGGTTGTTCTCTGGAAATACGAATAAAAGGTTCGACCGTCATCACATTAAATATCTAATACGGCAGTTTGTGTCTTCTGTTATTTTTAAACGAAAATAATCTTTCTTCTTAGAGTTATTAAGACTAAATTGCTTCAACAGTTGTTTTTAAAATTTTTCAACCTCCCCGCGGCGGTAACTAAGATAAATTATTGATCGTGTAAAGTTGTTTGTTGGGTGATCTCAACTGCTTTTCCTTTTTTTTTTTGGAAGTTATAATCGGGTATTTTACCTGGCATTCTAGACAATTAAATTACAACAAATAAATAATTAAATAAGACATATTAGGCATATTACGATCATATATTTATAGAATATCATATACGGAAAGTATATAATATTATATATTTTTCAGACAATAACACTGGTTACCATGGCAACATGGCAATGTATTCTATCGTTGTTTATTATTGTGTGTGTTTGTCTCTTTTTAGTGTCGCGTTTTCGTTTCATCGAGTTTCAAATTACAATGATTCTAAAGAAGTTTCACTTCAATGAAATTTATTTAGTGGTATCTTATATTAGTAAACGATAATAATTCATGAACAGACCTTTTATAGCAGATAAGTAGGATAAAGACTGTTTTGAGATTTTCGTGAGTTCGATTTCAACTTGGTGCAAATATTTTTATTGGTGTTTATTTATATTTACGATTTTTATTTATACCTGATAATATAAACGATTTTTTTATTGTAGATTTATTCACTAGTATAAGCCCGCAGGTTCGCTTGCGTATTAGAAACGTCCATAAAAATGGTTTTTGTGTTAAATTAGGATATATTCTTGCCGTTGGCTCTCATTAGCGTCTGGCAACCCAGCTAGGCACAAAGCCAAGAAACGTTCTAGGATACAGTCCACCTTGGTGGGTGTACCGTGCAGGTTGCTCTGGGTAGGCATTTGATAGCAGACTAGAACGTTGGAGTAACCACATGGTTGTTGGTGGTCTGCTTTTTCAGACCTGCCGTTGGGGCGTCGTAGTTGATCTTATGAAGCCCCATTATGACGGGGGAGGATCCACTTTTCTATTTTTAGGTTTGTCAATCTGAGGTACTTAAATCTGTTGAGTTGTTATAGCAAAATGATCAGCTTATAATGTGACAAATAATTTAGTTTATTTAGTAGTAAACGTTAGCAACAGTGCTTTTGCGTTTATTGAGTAAAGTGCGTTAGTATTATATACTTATACAATATTTACGTATTATATTACGTACGTATAACAATAATTCATACAATAATTCTCACAAAGGTCTGACAATAATAGAATAGGGTTTTCTGTGTAATCATATATGTATATTACATGTCGGTACTAATACCGTCTTCTAAACTAAGAGTTTGCTTGTAGCTTTATACTATATATTCTTTGTAACATCCACGTAATACATAAAATATTTCGGATTTCGTATTGAAGGGAGACCCGTGTCCAGCTGTGGGACGTTAAAAAGGGCTGAATACATACACACTGCTCGAATTGTTTTACATATCTTAATTAGATTGAACATTATTATTGTGTTACTTATATCCACACCAATATTAAAAATGTGAAAATAACTCTGTCTGTTACGCTTATACCGTTGAACAGATCTTGATAAAATTTGGTAATGACATAGATTGCATCCTGGGAATTGACACAGGCTATCTTTGATCCTCGCCCTAAGCACCACGCGAGCAAAGCCGCAGAAAAAAACTAGTATTAAGTATATACACAGATATGTACTCACGAGTCGCTAAAATGTATTTAAATATTTAAATTTTAAAAAAGTTAAAATTTAACTATGCAGTATATTCATTAACTATGTAACCGCTACATTCAGTAAAACTATAGTCGCGGTTCTATTTCACAAGTTGCTTTAAAAGTTGGGGCGTTAACACAGAAAGTTGTGAGTCGCTCCAGTCTCAAATACCGCTTTAACTTGCAATTTTACACTTTGTTATTGAACTTTTTGTTTAAGTTTTATTAAAATTTATTGCACTACCGTTTTTGTTAGTTATTCTTTGCTATTTTAACCTGACCCTAGAAGGAATTTTCGCTCAATTTAAAAATTTCCTTGATAATAATTTAACTAGCTTTTATTCTCGACATACACGTTTCATCCTTGCCGCAAGATGTATCATTAAGGTGCGTGTTAACAGGCTTCTCCTGGACAAATTCGCTAGATCGTAGTCATTATCTGTGCCTTCGAGCTAAGATGAAGGTCAAGAGTGAGCCCATTTCTAATAAAAAAATATATATCACATATTATGCATGTAAGCACACAGAGTATTTATTTTGTTTTATGCTATGTACCAGGTACCTATAGATAGATATTGATTTTGTATTTTCCTATGAAAATGAAAGATTTTACCGCATCTTTTTTGAGTATAAGCATCGATACATAACCTAACGCTTTATATCAGTTGAAAAAATAAACACCTTTATTATGATTAATACAGGTTTGTCTTTACTTCAAAACTTGCGAAAATAGAACCTGTTACCTTCAAAATACACATATGTACGTACGTACGTAACGTACAAACGGCTTTAAAAGGCATTAATATATTTTAAGCTTAAAAGCAAATATAAAAGATAAGTAGATACCCCCATAAAGGAAGCTACAGATAAATCTATACTCCATAGAGTCCATGTAAGCTCTGTCGATCTTTCAAAAGTACATTAATAAAGATTTTATCACTTTTATGGGAAAAAAGCACCAGAATTGCAAATTGATCCCTTGACAACTCGATTATTGTGCTATAAATTAAAATGAAGCCAATATTATGTCATTGAGATAAACATTGTATATTACACAGATTTTTTTGGGGTTAGAAAGTGATTTACTTTTCGGCAAAAGAGACACATTTACAAATCCATACTTATATTATAAATGTGAAAGTGTGTTTTTTTGTTTGTTTGTTTGTTTGTTTGTTTGTTTGTTTGCTTGTTTATTTGTTTGTTTGTCCTTCTTTCGTGATTGGCGTGATTTTTTGTGTGGAGATAGTTGGAGGTCTGGAGAATGACATAGGCTACTTCTTATCGCGGGAGATTACTTAATTCCTATTGGAAAATACGTTATAATACAATCCTCGGGGGACTCATTGGCGTCCGGCAGTTCAGCCGGGCGCAAAGCCAAGAAACGCACAGGGAGGTGGCTTACTTTGGTGGGCTGTGTGACATGCAGGTTGCTCTTGCTACTTCTCTGACAGCAGAGTGGATTGTGGAGTAACCCCATGATGGTTGTGGTCTGCTTCGGCAGACCTGCTATCGGGGCGTCGTAGTTGAATGCGTAAGCGATCCTGCGACGCCCTATTAAGATGAGGGAAGGTTTTGCTGGGTTTTAGTGGGTAGTACTGGTTTTTCTAGCCGGTGAATCCCACATAACCACCTGTATGTTGACACGTGGTATGCGTTAATGCACTTTCCAACATTTAAGAAATGTGCGTCCTGTGCTGTAAATTTATTACTATACGTATACTATGTATCAAGTTATATTCTATCTGTTTACTATACTTCATCCAAATCCTACCAGCCGTTTCAGCGTTGAAGTTCAAAAAGTAACAAACACACATACAATCTTCGCATTTACATATTTATGCATTTATAAAAAATAAGTACTCTTTTTCGGAAAATATAACAAAATGGCGTTTTTTTTTTCAGAAAAGACACTTACATAAATGTATATAAACTTAAAAAACGAAACCTTATCTAAATACAAAATTTGATCTAAATGGCTAGACCCGTTTCCCACAAGAAAAAAATGTATATATATACAAGAATTGATTATTTAATACTAGCAGAATCCACGGCTTCGCTCGTGCTAAAACTAAAAAAAAACTCTTAAAATATAGGTTTCATACAAACTTTTATCCCCTTATGGGATGCATTTCGAAAAATGCTAGAGCACGTATTTATTTAATTGTATTGCAGAGCATTAATACTAACTTTCAAGTAATTCTGATCATAAATATTTTTTTGGGTTGTATTATAACGTGTTTTTCCGTGAGGGTGAGATAATCTTCTGCGACAAAAGGTAGCCTATGTCACTCTCCAGCTCTTCATCTATTTCCACACAAAAAATCATGCCAACCTGTCACTCCGTTTCGACGTAAAAGAAGGACAAACAAAAAACAAAAAAACAAACAAACACACTTTCACATTTACATATAATATTAGTATGGGTTATAAATTAAGATATAACGGTAGTGTAACGACAATGAAGGTAGTTTTGAGGTAAAATCAAAGATTAACCTATCAAATGTTAGTAGAACTGAAATTACCAATTCTCACAAACAAGTTGCGAGTCTGATGGGAAATCCTTTCACACTAGCGCAAACACCAATTTTATAAGTACTTATTTCTAACTACAAAAATTACAACCTCCTATGCAATTTTTTGTACTGTATTTAACCTCTGTTAGTAGAATATAAAACGATCATCATCATCATCCT